TTTTTTTTTTTTGAGGCAGGGTCTTACTCTATGTCACTAAGCTGCCCAGTCTGGGCTCAAACTTGGAATCCTCCTGCCTCAGCTTCCCAGAGTGCTGGAATTATAGGTGTGTGCCCAGCTTCCTCCTTTGGTTCTTTTTGGCATAGCCTTGGCTAATCCTGCATGATTATTCTATAATATGATATTTAGAGTCATTTTGGTCCCATTTCATGTTTTGTTGAAATTTCTAGTGTAATTACACAGAATTGATTTAAGGAGACTTGGGATTTTTATGATATTTTCTATTTATAATTTTTTTTTTTTGAGACAGGGCCATGCTATGTATTTCATATTGGCCTTGAACTTGTGGCAGTCCTCCTGCCTCAACCTCTGGAGTGCTGAAATTACACGTGTGTGCCCCTATGTCCAGCTTTGATTTTTCCATAGGCTTTTTAAGGCCCTTCAATAAAATTATAATTTTGCCCATAGAGCACTTTTTCTTTCCTTGAGACATGGGTCTCATTATGTTGCTCAGACTGGTTTTAAATTCCTGGGCTCAAGTGATCTGCCTGCCTCAACTTCCTGATTATGGGCATGTATCAGTATGACTGGCTATACATATCTTTTTGTTAGACTTTTAGTTACTGAATGGTCTTTGAAGCTGTTGTAAATGTCAGTTTTTGGTTTCTGATTGCTAGTACATAAGCTTGCTATTAATTTATCTGACTTTGTAATGGTGATGCTGTTAATACTTATCCGAGGGCCAGGGATTTAGCTCAATGGTTCTGCCGCCTGCCTCACAAGTGCAAGGTCCCGAGTTGGATCCCAGGTACAAAAAAAACAAAAACGAAAAACTTATCTGAACCCTGGATTAATACTCTTGAATTTCCTGTGTAATTTTATTCTCAAATATTAAAATTACTTTGACGTTTAATGATATTTAATAATATTAATAATAGCATTTTATTTATTCTCAAATAATGGCATTTTGGTCTTTTCTTTCCAATCCTTTTTTCTTTTTTTTTCTTCTTCCAGTACTGGGGATTGAATTCAGGACCTTGCACTTGCGAGGCAGCTGTGGCACCACTGAGTTACATCCCTGGCCCCTCTTTTCCAGTCCTTTTAGCTTGTATTTCCTTTTTCTGAGACTTTCTGCACTGGCTCAGATACTGAGTAGCATCACACAGAATGAGCATCCTTGTCTTGTCACTGACTCTCCTACAGGTGCTTTCACTATGTCATTTCAGTGTAGGTATGAACGTAGATTGAGTCCTTGGGACCTCAGGGTCCCTGGGCCACACTCTGAGAACTACTGCTGTATAGTATCTTATTTTATGTCTTTTTTTTCCCTAATAGTATTTAGTTTTCCATCTCTTTTTCTTCCCTTGATTGGATTTGCCATATATTTGTGTATTTTATTAGCATCTTCAAAGAACCAATGTTGAAATAGTTTTATTTTTTTGGAATTTGCTGAAACTTCCTGGTATGAGGTTTTTTGGTGTGATATTCAATGCATATGTTGAAAAAAGTATGTATTCTCTGTTAAAAGTATGAGATTCTCTACTTGACCCACTCATTTCTGAGGGAAGTATGTTAAAGAGATCTTGTTTCAGAGGCGAATTTGCCAGTTTCTCTTTGGTGCATGCATATATGTGTAATTAACACAGCTTTTTGGTGGATGTTTTCTTTCATCTGTAGTATCTGTTTTTGTTCCTATTAATGATTTTTTTTTCTTTCTTTTTTTTTTTTTTGGTACCAGGGATTGAACTCAGGACCTTGTGCTTGCAAGGCAGGTGGCAGAACCACCGAGCTAAATCAACCAGTGCTATGATTTTTACTTTCAATTCTGTTTTCTTTTTTGGTACCGGGGATCGAACTTGGGTTCTTGTGCTTGCGCTGCAGGTGGTGAAACCACTGAGCTAAATCCCCGGCCCCTCAATTCTGTTTTGATTGGTATAAACCAGTGATGGCAAACCTTAGAGCTTTCAATGGTACAAACAGTCCGCTGCAGCATGCATGCCATAGGCTTACCACCACTAGTATAAACACAGCTAATGACATGCAGTACCCTGAGGGGAAGAATCCAGGTATGAAAGATGGAGATGTTGATTTGCTTTAGTTCATCCCAGAGCATGAAGATGAAGTATGCTGTTTCTCAGGCTGGCTGGTTATAGTGACTGTGGGGGCAGGAGACATCTGGCAGCAGGTCTGTTTTTTTCTTGACCCTGATGCTGATTCTGTATGTGGGGCAGTTTGTCCATCAAACTGTATACATAGGACTTGTCGACTTTTCAATATAAATTTCCTATTTCAACAAAAAAACTTAGTGAGACACTGTCTCAAAAAGTAGGGGGGATGGGGCAGGGGACACATGGGGACACATGGAGGCCCAGCCTGGGCCCTCCTTCTGTGTCTCAGGGTGTTTGGTGCTGCCATAAGCAGCCCTACCTGCAGTCCAGGGCTGCCTGCCCAGCTCTTCTTCCACTGCCCACATTGACATCCTCTCAGCCTCCTGCCCCTCTCCTTAGCACACTAAAAGTTGCCTCATTTAGGACAAGAACAATATTTATTCATTTTATGTAAATAATAAAGGCAAAACATTAAGGGCTAGAAAAGATACAGATTTTTAAAATGACAATAGAAGGCATAGGGCAAAGGCAGTGTATAGACCATAACAAATACAAAGTGTGTAGAAGTCCCAAGTAGATGAATAAAGTAAGAAATAAGATTAAATTCTCTAGAAGCACAAGAATCTCCAGTTAGTTACAGTGTACCTGTTTGCCTTAAAGTAATACAGGAATGGTGAATATAGTAAAGAGATACCAACTAAACACTAATTAAAACTAAAATAATACTGTTGCCATAGACCTTTTCTTTGTGTGTGTGTGTGTGTGTGTGTGTGAGACTGGGGATTAAACCCAGGCCTTCACATTGTACTACATCCTCAGGCTTATTAAATTTTTTATTTGGAGACTGGGTTTCACTAAGTCACTTAGCTGGAACTTGTAATCTTCCCTTCTCAGTCTCCCGAGTGCTGGGATTACAGGTACCACCGTGCCCAACTTCCAAGTGTCCCTTTCTCTTCCCTCAGCCCCTGAGTGACAGGCTCCTGTGCACTGCCCTCAGGAAGCCCAGGGCAGAAGTGATGGCAGCCTTGTTTCCATCTGCCTCATTCCAGGTGAGTGTCTGTTCTCTTTGGAGTGTGAAGTTTGTCTCAACTAGTGCTTTCTTTGGCAATCACTGTCAACTATCTGGTCTAGGGTGCTGACATCAGAGGAGGGGTGATTCTGGGTTTCCCCTGCTGTTCCCCTCAGGGTACTTCTCTTCTCTCTGCTCCCTGGTGCCCACCCAGGGCCACCCTGGGGGCTGCAGCAGAGTCCTATTGTTCCAGGCCCAGGTGACCTTTGAGGATGTGGCTGTTCTGCTTTCCCACGATGAGTGGGGGTGTCTGGACCATGCTCAGAGGGACCTCTACAGAGATGTGATGCTGGAGACCTACAAGAACCTGGTCTCTCTCGGTAAGGCTCCTGAGCAGACTTTAGTGTGAGAATGCCCTGGGCTTGTGGGCTTAGTAGCGGTTGGGTTGGAGCCTCACACTTTGGGCCCACAGATGGCAATGCTACCCTGGCAGGCCCAGTCTTAGAAGAGGGTGGGTGGTGCAGGGACCCTCCAGAGTAAGCCCATCCTTTCTCTGACATCCTGCCTTGGGCTGAGGCAGACCCTTTTTGTGGAGAGCTTGGCTTCTGGTGCATAGCACTTTGTCGTTCTGTTCCTGGACTCAGACTTCCATCTTCATGACAGCCTCCAGCCTACTTCTAGCTCCTCCAGAGAGTATCTGGGACTTCATATCCTTTGCCTGTGCTTCCTGTCCTTGCAGTCTCAGAGCAAGGTGGCATACAACACTGCTCTGTATCCTCGGTACCAACCCCAGGCTCTGTCTCCTTCCCAGGAGCGGGATCTGCAGGTCCCAAGCCTGGGGTGATCTTGCAGCTGGAGCGAGGGAATGAGCCGTGGGTCCTGAACACGAAGGAAGCTGAGGGGAGAAGGCATCTGAGAGTCAGCAGCTCAGGTGCGTGAGGGAAGCTGCTCCCCCAGTTAAGTCACTAAATGAGCATCTGTTGGGGGTCATGTTGTCTGGTTGGTGGTTCAGGAATTTGAGGGAATTTGCATCCAGATTAGATGGGCCAGCCTGGGGTGTGGCCTCTGCTGATGTCATGTTCGACTTGATCAGCTTTGGTGCCCTGGCAGGAGATTCTTGAGCAAAAGCTTCTAGGAAGACTGTGGGGGCTGCGTTGCAGAGGACAGGGAGGGCGTTCCAGGCAGTGCTAGTCTAAAGTGTGGGTACAGGCCAGGGTCCTGTGAGGACCTGGGGCCCCACGGAATCCTGTCCTCGGGGCTGTTGCACACGGAGGGTCTGGGAAGGGCGTGTGATGGAGACCATCACTTCATTCTCCTGCTTTTTTCTTTTCTTTCTTTCTTTCTTTTTTTGACAAAGGACGTCGCTATTATTTCAGGCTGGTTTTGAACTCACTATGTACCACTGGCTGGCCTCAAATTCATGGCAATCCTCCTGCCTCAGCCTCTCAAGTGCTGAGATTATAGGCGTGCACCACCATGCCCAGCTCCCCTGCCTTTTTTTCTGCCTTCATCTCAATGAGCTCACTTAACAACTATAGGCCATTACAGGAAAATAGGAGAAGTCAGATCACTGTGAATCTCAGTGCCCAGACATAGTCGTATTCTAAAATATTCCCTGCCGGGTGTAGATGTCTGTAATCCCAGCACTTGGGAGGCCGAGGCAGGGAGGATCACTGTGAGTTTGAGGCTAGTCTGGGGTACATAGTGAGTTCAAGACCAGCCTGGACTACATAGTGAGACCCTGTTTCAAAAAAAAATCCCTTGTTTTTCCTTTTGGGTGATGACTTTTCCACACCTGTGTATGAGCATCACTTTGTGTGTGTGTGTGTGTGTGTGTGTGTACATATGTGTATATGCTCTGCTACTGAGTTATACCCTAGCACCGAAGACTGCTTCTTAATAGCAAGACCTATGTCCCCTGGTGTGCCACTGAATGTGTTTCCACTTCCTTGCACTTGAGCTTTGGTCAGGCTTTCTGGGGAAGTGCCAACCAGGAGATCCCATCTTCTTTTGCTGCCATGGAGAGCTGCAATGATTATGCTTTTGCTTGTGTCTGCTCTTGTCCCAGGAAGGAGCTGCTGGCTCAACTTGTTTTCCTTTTGCAAATTTGCTTTTTTTGAGCCAAAAAACAGTGGCAAAGTTTATCTGAGAAAGTAAAAGTGAACAGTAGGGAGAAACTGGCTCTGCAGAGTGAGTAAAAAAGGAAAAAGCAAGATAAAAGAACATCCTGGAGAAAGCAGGGTGGGCTATCCTGAGGAAAAGCCACAGTAGCCAAATTTGTTTATTTGAATATACTTATAGAAATGGGAATTTGGTGAATTTTTATGAAAAACTATCCTCCAGGTCAAAATATAGATTATGTCCAGGTCCTGGGAGCCCCTGGACCTATGTCATTTTTCATTGCTCCCTGCACAAGTCACAAGAGGCTGCTTTGCTGATCTTTTCTCTCTGTCTGGATTCATGCAGAGGATCTTCATGTTTCATACAGCAGCAGTTGGGTCTGTTTTATTGCCAGTGTTCCGTCATGTGATTATGCCAGAATTCGTTTTCCCTTCCACTTGGAGTGAATATTTGGTTGTCCCTAGTGAGGGGGTCTTGTGCACATCTCTTTCTCGCACATAGGAACTGTGTTTCTGGTGGGTGTGTACCGGGGAGTGGAGTTTCTGGGTCACAAGATATGCACAGATCAGCTTTAGGTAATTCTGCCAGATTATGCCAAAGTAGCATCTTGTTTGCATTCCTGCAGCAGTGGGTGAGCCCACTGGTTGCAGTCTTGAGCTGCTATGGATATGCAGTTTGGAGGCTGGGCAGCTGTGGAAGGCAGGCCTCTCAGGACTGCGAAGGGATGATGAAAGTGGCCATCACAATCCATTTGCATCTGAGACTCACTGTGCTGGGCACTGGGCTGAAGGTTTGGTGGTCAGTCTGTTATTTAATTCCATGTTAACACTTGTCAGAGTGCTGTATGGTAGCATATCCTGGCATATCCTGCTTTTCAGATGGGGGAATGGAGGCTCAGAAAGGTGAGTGAGTTGCCTCAGATCATTCACCTAGCAAGTGGCAGCCAAAACTGATCAATCCTGAGTATGACTGCAGGTTCTGAGGGGCCTTATGGCAGGACCCTGCTTGGGTGCTTGTCCATACCCACTGTTGGGGAGTGGCCACGTAGGAGAGCTCAGAGTATATTGGGAAAGGAGGAAGGAAGGGATAGAGGTTTGAAGGCATCAGAGAGCCTTCCACGTAGACGCCTTAAGGTAGTCCCGCACCTCCAGGGAGAGCCCCAGGAGTGGTGTGGCTGCTGAAGAGAGCCAAGGGGCCCAATCTGCATGTGCTATGCCTTCCATCTGCAGGTTGGCACAAGCTTAGCCCTCTCTGCTCCCAGGAAGGCAGCTGATTTTTCTGCCATGGATTTTTGGGTAGCATCAGACTCACTTGGCCTTAGTTTCTCTATCTGTTGTTTTCTATGACTTTAACTCCTTGCTCTGGTTTCCATGGTGCTGTGAAGGCTTTGTACTTTTAGGGACAGGTGTCCTACAGTTTCACTAAGAGTTAAGGCTCACAGGGCCACATGGCTGTGGCCCTGGGCAAGGTCTTAAGCCTCTGAACTCCAGGCTGCATCTCTGCAGGACTGTTGTGACTTTGGAGATGACTGACCTGGTGTCCCCAGGTGTCACCCCTGGGGTGCATCTTCATGTCTTCTTTCCAGGGTCAGAACAGGTGACCCTTGGGTGTTCTGTTTGTTGTTTCAGCTCATGGGACCAGGACTGAGCACACAGAATTGGCCTCAGAGGAGACATTTGTTGGGCGAGAGCTGCATCAGCCCAGGAGGACTGTTCACCAGGAGGAAGTGGAGACAGAAGACTGTGGCTTTGTCAAGGAGCCAGAGAGGAGCTTGGACAAGCTAGTGTGCCAGATATGCCCTAGCCCAAGCACACTGACCAGTGAGGAGAGCAGCCGGGACAGTGGGGGAAGCCTCAGGTTGGGGTTAGGCCCTTTCCCTGATCAGAGACCTCACAAATGTGATACATGTGAGCAAAGTTTTGAGCAGAGATCGTATCTTAACAACCATAAGCGTGTGCACAGGTCAAAAAAACCAAATACCGTTCATGATTCTGGGGAGTTCTTCAAGGCAAACTTAGTTGTTACAGAAGATCAAAAAATTCCTACTGGGAAGAGGTTGCATTATTGTGGCCACTGTGGGAAGACATTCAGGTATAGTGCTAACCTTATCAAGCACCAGCGGCTTCACAGTGAAGAGAAGCCCTACAAGTGTGGTGAATGTGGGAAAGCCTTCAGCCAGAGCTGTGAGTTCATCAACCATCGGAGGATGCATTCTGGTGAGATCCCCTACCGGTGTGGGGAGTGTGGCAAGACATTCAATCAGAGGCCTAACCTCATGAAGCATCAGAGGATTCACACTGGAGAGAAGCCCTATAAGTGTGCTGAGTGTGGTAAACACTTTAGTGCCTACTCTTCTCTTGTTTATCACCAGAGAATACACACTGGAGAGAAACCCTACAAATGTAATGACTGTGGAAAAGCCTTCAGTGATGGTTCTATCCTTATTCGACATCGACGGACTCACACTGGTGAGAAGCCATTTGAGTGTAAAGAATGCGGTAAAGGCTTTACCCAGAGTTCCAACCTTATCCAACATCAGAGAATTCACACTGGAGAAAAACCCTACAAATGTAATGAATGTCAGAAAGCCTTCATCCAGAAAACCAAACTTGTTGAACACCAGAGAAGCCACACTGGAGAGAAGCCCTACGAGTGTCATGACTGTGGCAAAGTCTTCAGCCAAAGTACACACCTCATTCAGCACCAGCGGATCCACACAGGGGAGAAGCCTTACAAATGCAGCGAGTGCGGGAAGGCCTTCCACAACAGCTCTAGGCTCATTCATCACCAGCGCTCACATCATGGAGAAAAGCCCTACAAATGTAGTGATTGCAAGAAAGCCTTCAGCCAGAGCACTTACCTGGTTCAACACCGGAGGATCCATACCGGAGAGAAGCCCTACAAGTGCAGCGAGTGTGGGAAAGCCTTCCGACACAGTTCCAACATGTGTCAGCACCAGAGGATCCACCTCCGGAAAGACTTCTCACCATGATAGTGGAGGAGGGTCTGTGAGGGCACAGTTCTGGTGTGCATGTCCTCATGTGTCCTACTGACTGTTCACCCTATTTCCACAGGGTGAAGCAGTATTTCTGTCTAATTAAAGAAACCTCTTTTCCTAAACCAAAGGGAGTGCATATTCTTTTTAAAGAAACAGAAAACTGCACCAAAAACAGGCTCCTGTAGTCTCCCCCACTTAGGAAAAGAGGATTCATGTTGCTGATTTAGAATGTTTCCTTTCGGAAACACTGGAGAGCATTTTAGGAAGAAAACACTCCCCAGAGTGGTGTTATCTGTAGTCCCTGCCCTTGGGAGGCTAAAGCAGGAAGATTGCTTAAGCTCAGGAGTTCAAGACCAGCCTGAGTGACAGTGAGACTTTGTCTCAAAAAAAAGGAAAACACTCTTATGCATGTCATTGAAATACCTAATACCTTCACCTTTGCTATTTCTTTAGTGCCAAAAATTTCACAATGTAGAGAACTCCACACATGGCTATATTTTTACATATTGTAAATAAAATTAACATTATGTCATCCATACTTTGCCATGTCACTTAACAGAGTTGATATTGCCTTTTTTATTGTGGTAAAATATACATAACAAAATTTTCCATTTTACCCATTTTAAAGTTTACAGGTTGGTGGCATTAAGTACATTCATAGTGTCCTATAACCGTCACCACTCTTTCCAGAACTGTTTTATTATCTCAAACAGAACCTCTGTAACTATTTGTTTTGGGGGCGGGGGGGGTTTTGGGCTTGGGGGTTTGAATTGGGACCTTGCAATTCTCTGTAACTATTAAATAAGTCCCCTATTTCCTCTGTGTCCCAGAGTTGGTAGCTTCAATTCTATCTTCTGTTTCTATGAATTTGCCTATTTTGAATCATATAGTATATTTCCTTTTATGTTTAGCTTAGTTCATTTAGTGCATTGTTTTTGAGGTTTGACCATGTTATAGCCTGTATCAGAATTTCACTCCTTTTCACAGATGAGTAATATTCTACTGTATGTATATATCATATTTTATCCATTCATCTGTTGCTGGACACTTTGGTGTTTCTACCTTTAAAACTATTGTGAATAATGTTGGTATGAATGTTGGTGTACAAGTATATATTTGAGTTCTGTCTTTAAGCACTTTCTGGTAAATAAGAATGAAATCACTGAATCATAGTAATTATTTAACTTTCTGAGGAGAGGCCCAACTTTTCCATAGGAGCTGCATTGCTTTCGTCCCCACCAGCAGTACACAAGGGCTCCATTTTTCTACATTCTTCCCAACATGTTACTTTTTTTGATAATAGGCATCCTAATAGGTATGAAGTGATGTTGTGGTTTTGATTTGCATTTCAAATGAACAGCAAACAATGATGTTGAACATATTTTCAAGGTTTTTCTTGACCATTTTTGTATATTATTTGGAAAAATGTCTATTTGAAACCTTCGCCTTTTTTGTTTGTTTGTTTTTGGTACTGGGGATTAAACTAGGGCCTTTATACTGAGCTATGTCCTCAGCCCTTTTTTTTCTTAACTGAATTTTTCATTTTACTTCTTTTTTTTTTTTTATTGGTACCAGGGATCAAACTCAGGACCTTGCGCTTGTGAGGCACGTACAGTGCCACTGAGCTAAATCCCGGGCCCTTGAATTTTTCATTTTGAAACAGGATCTCACTAAGTTGCTCAGGCTAGGCTTGAATGTATGCTCCACTTACCTCAACCTCTCAGAGTGCTAGTATCATGTGTGTGCCCCCATACCTAGCTCTGTTCATTTTTGGATTGGATGTTTTTGGTTTTTATTGTTGAATTGTAGGAGTTCTTTAGATATTTTGGCTATTTGTTCCTTAAGAGATACATGATTTGCAAATATTTTCTCCCATTTGTGTGTTGTCTTTCACTCATGACAGTGTCCTTTGATGTACAAAAGTTTCAATTTTTTTCTTTTTCACTACTGAGGATAGAACCCAGAGCCTTTGCACTGAGCTATATCCTCAGATGGTTTTTACTTTTTTTGGTACCGGGGATTGAACTCGGGACCTGTGCTTGGCAAAGCAGGTGACGGAAGAACTGAGCTAAATCCCCGGCCCCTTTACTTTTTATTTTGTTTTTTGTTTTAGTACCGGGGATCGAACTTGGGTCCTTGCGCTTGCGCAGCAGGCAGTGAAACCACTGAGCTGAATCCCCAGCCCTACTTTTTATTTTGAGACAGAGTCTTGCTAAGTTGTCCGGGCTAGGCTTCAACTTGCAATCCTCCTGTCTTAGCCTCCAGAGTGCTGGGATTACAGCATGAGCCATCATCTTCAGCCAGAAGTTTTAATTTTGATGAAGTTCAATTCATCTGTTTATTGTTTTGTTCCTGTGCTTTGGGTGTCATATGCAAGAAATTATTGCCAAGTCCCTTGATACGACATTTCCACTATGATTTCTCTTAAGAATTTTGTAGTTGTGTGACTCACAGTTGGTTTTTGGTACATTTTGAGCTGATTTTTGTATGTGGCATAAAGTAACAATCCAACTACATTCTTTTGTGTGTAAATATTCAGTTTTTCCACCAATACTTGTTAATAGACTTTCCAAATTGAATGTTGTGGTAGTCAGCTTGGTTGCCACAACAAAATCCCACAGATTGGGTGGCTTAAAAAGCAGAAATTTATTTCTAGGGTTATGGAGGCTTGGAAGCTCAAGATCAAGGTGCCAGCCTATTCAATTCCTAATGAGGGTTCTCTTCCTGACTTGCACATAGCTGCTTTATTGCCAAACCCTCACAGGGTAGAAAGAGGGAGAGAGTTTTCTGCTATCTCTTTCTCTTATAAAAGTAAGCCCTGTTGGATTAGGGCCATACCCTTATGACCTCATTTTATTCTATTTTTAAAGTTTTTTTGGGGGGGGGGTTTACCGGGGATCGAACTCAGGACCTTGCGCTTGCAAGGCAAGCAGCGGAACCACTGAGTTAAATCCCTGGCCGTCTATTTTTAGATTTTGAGACAGTCTTGTCAAGTTGCCCAGGCTAGGATTGAAGTTGTGATCCTTCTGCCTTAGCCTCCCCGGAGGGCTGAGATTACAGGTGTATGCCACCATGCCCAGGGACCTCATTTAATCTTTACTGCCTCCTCCCAGGTCCTCTCTCCAAATATAGTCATATGAATTTGGGGGGATACAGTCCATAACAAGGAGCCTTGGCACCCTTGTCAAAGATCAATTGATCATATGTACGAAGGTTTATTTCTGGGCTCTCCTGTATGCCTTTCTATATGCCCATCCTTATGCCAATATGCCATGGTTTAATTGTGGTTTGTCCCCTAGAGGTTCATGTACTGGAGGCCTGGTACCCAGCATAGAAGTATTGAGGTAATTTAACCATTCAAAATTAGGGCCTAGGCTGGGAATAGTGGTGCACATGTGTAATCCAAGCACTTGGGAGGCTGAGCCAGGAAGACTATTGTGAGTTTGAGGTCAGCCTGGGCCACATAGTGAGTTTAAGGCCAGTCTGAACTACAAAGTGAGACCCTGTCTCAAAAAAAGAAAAAAAAAAGATAAGGCTTAGTACAGTGATGGTGAACCTTTTAGTGACCAAGTGCCCAAACGGCAACCCAAATCCCACTTATTTATTGTAAAGTGCCAATCGTGCAATTAAGTCTGAATAATGAGGTTTTAGTTTAGAAAAAACAACTTATCTGATGCTAGGCTGCTGGGACGACTTGGCTCACGTGCCAACAGGGAGAACTCTGTGTGCCTGTTGCAGCACACGTGCCATGGGTTCGCCACTACTGGCCTAGTAAAAAGTGATAAGGTTGTGGGAGAAACCATCATCAGAAGAGATTAGTGCAGGTTTCATGAGACTGGATGTTCTCTCAAGAATAGTTTGTTTAGGGGCCGGGGATTTAGCTCAGTGGTTTTGCCGCCTGCTGCGCAAGCACAAGGACTTGAGTTCGATCCCTGGTACCAAAAGAAAAAAAAAAGAATAGTTTGTTTAAGGGATCCTGGCACCTCCCCTGAGCCCTTCTGCATGCACTACTTACTTCTTCTACATGTGCTACTGGAATTGTGATGCTATCTATCGTGATGCCCTCATCAGAGCCAAACAGATGGCAGCACTATCCTCTTGAATCTCCAGAACTGTGAGATTCAAACCCTCGTTTCTTTATAAGTTTCCAAGCCTAGCCAGGCATGGTGGCGCACGCCTGTAATTCCAGCACTCGGGAGGCTGAGGCAGGAGGATCACCTCGAGTTCAAGGCCAGCCTGGGCTACGAAGTGAGTTCAGGCCCAGCCTGAACTACAAAGGGAGACCTTGCCTCAAGAAAACCCCCCAAAAACAAACAAACAAAAAGAAAATAAATAAATAAATTTCCAAGCCTAAGGTATTATGTTATAGGAACACAAAATGGATTAAAACAGAAGATTGGTACTGAGAATGTATAGTTATAATGGTGACTGAAAATGTGGAAGTAGCTTTGCCAGTCTCTCTCTTTTTTTTTTTTTGTATTTTTTAGTACCCGGGATTGAACTCAGGACCTTGCACTTGTGAGGGCAGGCGGCAGCACCACTGAGCTAGATCCCTGGCCCTGGAAGTAGCTTTGGAACTGGATAATGGGCAGAGGTTAGAAGAATTTGGAGAAGCAGCCAAGAAAAAGCTGGAATGTTGCAAATAAACTTACGGGAAATTTTGGTGAGGGCTTATAAGACAAGGAGCTAGGAATTCTTAAGAGATTGGTTAAATGGACAGATCAGAATGGTGATGGAAGTGAGGACCATCCTACTGGAAAGGAGTAAAGGCCACCTCCTCACACCATTGCAAAGAACTTTGCTACTATGTTGTGTTTATGCCCTATAGCTTTATAGAGTGTCAAATTTCAAAATGATAAAAAGCTGAAGAAATTTTTGAACAGCAAAATATTCATGTTGCTATTTGGTTACTTTGGTTTATACTCGGACTTGGGGTCAAAGGGAAGCCGAATGGAAAGATTGGAGAATTCACAGCCTAGCCAGAAAACAATTTTTTTTTTTGGTACTGGGGATCAAACTCGGGACCTTATGCTTTTGAGGCCGGCGTCAGAACCACTGAGCTAAATCCCCAGCCCTCTTTCAATGATTCTTTGTGGCTTCCAACAAGGGAATCTTTTGCCTTCGTTAAATTTATTCCTATTTTATTAATTTTAAAGCTATTGTGAATGGAATTTTTAAATTTCCTGTTTGGATTTTTCATTAGTAATGTATAGGAATGATTTTTGTATCTTGATTTTGTATCCTGAAACTTTGCAGAATTCATTTGTTAGCTCTTACAGGTTTCTTTAGGTGTGTATGTGCACAATCTTTAGGGTTCTCTGCATATAAGATCATGCCATCTGTGACCTGAGAATTTTACTTCTATTCCAGTTTGGATGCCTTGTGTTTCTTTTCCTTGCTCATCTTCTCTGGCTAGAACTTCCATTACTGTGTTGACTAGAAGTAGCAAAAGTGGGCATCCTTGTCTTGTTCCAGATTTTTTTTTTTTTTTTTTGAGACAGGGTCTCACTTTATACTGCAGGCTAGCCTTGAACTCACTGTGCAGCCTTGGCTGGCCTTGAATGCATGGCAATTCTCCTGCCTAGGCAATTCTCCTGGGATTACAGGTATGTGCCACATGCCTGGCACTTTGTTCTTTGTTAATGTATTTGTTTACAGCTATAAAATTTCCTCTAATCATTACTTTAGATTTGGGTATGTTGTATTTTTCTGTTTTTTGTTTTTTGAGGCATGCTACAGCGTGTGTGGCTGAAGGGTCCAAGGAGTGAGACTGGCAGAGGATTAAGAAAAAACAAAGAGATACTAAAAAACAAAACTGGGGCTAGGTGGAG